AAAGCACCTGCCCTACACCCTTCACCTGATCATGATCTGCAGTGCTGGAGCAGCAGGAGGATTCTGCATTAGCCAGCACACTGCTAGATGATGCGGACTAATGTCAAACCAGCCATCTAAGACAAATAACAATCACCTCTGTGGAGTTCATTCTTCTAAATTCAAAACAGAGACGAATCTGCTGCTAGTAAAAACCAGCTCCAGTATGTCAACTGTGATATAACGTTAAACGTTTGTAAACATGTCATTCCTGTAAACAGCTGTACAAATCCAGACTCAGCAATAAGACATAATATATTGCACTGTTGTGTACCTGTTTTGTGCAGCAGTATCACAGGAGAAATATCTTGTGCTTCTTCAAGTCCCGTTGCTTACGTCTGTGTTGTTTGAGAGTTACTACAGCTGCAGTGGTGACTGTGCGTTTGAGCGCGTACAGCGCCCCCTACTGCTGTGGGGCGCTGCTGCTTTCAATTAAGCTTTTATGAATCTCTCTGTTTTGAATCAGTGTTTCGGAGCTTGGTTCAAACCGGTTCAAACTCGCGAGAGGTTCAGCAAACGAGGCTTCGGACGTCATACTGTTTTGACCTTTAGTTTCAAAACATTTAAAAATCCAACATTTTTTTTGTTTATTGTCTCTCGTTCTTGTAAATGTTGTGTACTTTTTTTCACTAAATAAAATATTAAAAATACCGATAGTTCGCCACTAGACTGCGCGCGTTGATCTGATGAACCTATGAACATGTGTCTAATAGTTTTAACTTATCTCTGGGCATTTTTATAAATAATAATAATAATAATGCACTTTAATACACATAATTTTGTGTATGATACAAAAAAGGATGAATATTTAATTTATTCTAATTGATCTACTTTGGCTTAATAACAAGCATTACACATTAAAAACTAATTTTACTATTAGATGCTATCTTTAATTTGTAGATTTGTACATTTAATGGATTACACTTAAATGCATTTGCAACTGGTTTGCAAAAGGTGTCATTAATTGTTAGAACAAGAACAATAATCATGATCTCAAGTTAATGAAACTTCCACATTACAAGAGCTATGTGCTAGCTGTGCTGTGCTGTCTTACCTATACTGAGCTGGAGTTACACTAATAATAGTGCATTAGTGTTATTAATAACAGTGATAATAGCAATAAAATACACTGTATTGTCTAACAATGTAGTCCACAGAAGTAATTTTTTGCCCATTTTATCACACAACAATCTTGATTTTTGCCTTACATTAAAGGGGTCATATGCTGCTGCTAAAAAGAACATTATTTTGTGTATTTGGTGTAATGAAATGTGTTTATGCGGTTTAAGGTTAAAAAAACACATTATTTTCCACATACTGTATATTACTGTTTCTCCTCTATGCCCCGCCTTTCTGAAACGCGTCGATTTTTACAAAGCTCATCGTCTGAAAAGCGAGGTGTGCTGTGATTGGCCAGCTATCCAGTGCGTTGTGATTGGCCGAATACCTCAAGCGTGTGACGGAAATGTTACGCCCCTTACCATATTGTGATGATGCCCTGTCAGGCCGGAACGATGATTCAAAAACATTAAAACCCATTATAAACGAGGCATTCGTTGCATCCAGTGGGGACATAATTATGGATTATAATGACTGTCTTTTTACGCGTTGCATCGCACAGCGTAAACATAAAACCATGTCTGCATTTGTGATCAGAGAAATGACAAACAACAAGTTTGACAAGCAACAACAACAAAACTACAGCGAGAATAAAAGTTACGCCTTCTTTCTTTGCGTGAACATTTGGGCGGCGTTATGCAAATCTACCCATATCGTGACGTAGACATGTGGGGGCGTGTTAAAACGAGCCGTTTAAGGTAGGCGTGGTTGACTCTTAACTTTTATAAAGAACATCTCTTTGGATTTGAGACTTTAGTCTTTGCAACTTTACAGATCTTCTTTATGCACCAAGAGCTTGTAACACTCCAAAGAGAAAGGAACATTTGAAATCGCATCATATGACCCCTTTAAATAAACTTACAGACTGAATTACAAAAAACTGCACAGGTTTGAACATCTGTTGCTTTCCTGTCAAAAAAGCACAACCAGACAAATCACTCCTTGCCTGTGTTTGTCAGGTTTTCAGGAAGAGTGGACCCAAAAGCAGCTGAATGCTTAACTCCAAGTAAGAGAGACAAAGGGAGAGTCAGGCCAACAAGAGGGTCATACCAGGAAGTAAACAACGTAGACGCGACAGATCAGGAACAAGGTCAAGCAGTGATCAGAACCAGAATGGCTGTCTAAAAGCAAATGCCATAAGATAATCTGAGGGCCAGAACCCAAAGATAATAGCAAGAGTCAACACCAGAGTGGGCAGCTGCAGTCCATTGACCAGTGTGCTCTGGTGCGACAGGGAACTACAGCACTAACTAGGTGCCTAGGTGGAAGAGAGGAGCATAAGTAAAATAACAACTAGACTGACAGACAAGATTTAAAATTAGACAAGACTGAGAAACTAGACAGAATTAGATAAGGGCATGTGTGAGTGCAAGAAGCACAAAATACACTGGCAAAGAAACAGTGATGCTCTTTCCATGCTCTCCTTTTAAACAGGTCCTCTTCCAGTTCTGGATCAATCCCAATATGAGTGATGCCAGTGTTTCCATTTGTGTCTGGATCAGTGGGTCCATCTTCAGCTGTGCTTCCTGATTCAGACAGAGGGTTTAAAAGTTCGGACTGAGTTCTTCTTGGTGTTCAAACTCCGGGGAGCCTGGGGGCTCTGGCTGGTTTTCTGACTGAAGCCCATCGTCACTGAAGTCATCATCTTCATTATCAGAAAGTTGCTCGATGCGCACAGCATTGGTCAGGGCTGAGACATGAGGCTGGATCGAGGAAAGCAATGTGGTGTCTGAAGTCTGAATTAGAGGAGGGCACTTCGGCAGGTGTGTCTGTTTTAGACTTTAGTTCAGAAACAAGGGAAAAAATGACTACTAATAGGCTTAACACTGATAAAGGGATGCTTACTGAAAGAAACTCTTTATGCTCATTTCATTTTAATACAATGCACTGCAATGAATACAATATACAATGAAACTGGAAACTTTTGATGAGGCTTGTTGAAAAACAGGAAATCCTATTAAACATTCAATAGTATGGGGTCAGGAAGATTTTTTTTTTTTTTTAAGAAATTAATACTTTTCTTTCAGCAAGGACACAATAAATTGATCCAAAGTGATAGTAAAGACATGTATAATTGTACAAAAGATTTTTTATAAATAAATGCTGTTCTTTTAACCTTTATATTCTAAGAATCCTGAAAAAAGAATTGTAAAATGTTAAGCAGCACAACTGTTTTTAACATTGATAATAATAAGAAATGTTTTGTTTTTTTTTAGCAACAAATCAGCATACTAGAATACATTTTTAAGGATCATGTGACACTGAAGACTGGAGTAATTAATGCTAAAAATAAAAGTCTTTGCTTTGCCATCGCAGACATTTTAAAATAGAATAAATAAAATATGTATATATTTTAAAATATTAAAATAGAAAACAATATTTCACAATATTGTTGTTTTACTGTATTTTTTTATTAAATAAATCCAGCCTTGGTGAGCAGAAGAGACTTCCAAAAACGTAAAAAAATAAATAAATCTTACCAACCCTAAACTTTTTAATAGTAATGTATATTTTATTACTATTATTACTTTTTTTTTATTACTATGTAATCTATTATTTATCACTAAAACAAGAAGTGAAGACCCTCAATACGTCTCTTCAAATTTATATTATCATTACAGTCAAAAAAATCATATAAATATCATAACATGCGAAATTAGTTCAGGTGGTCAACTTTTTAGTAGTATGACCCCAAAAATTATGAACAAATGAAGAGATGGCAATATATTTTTTAAGGTCTAAAGAGAAATATATTATTTATAAAAAAAAATAAATAAATAAATGAACATAATCCAATAAATATTTTTTTATTTTAGATTTTAAAAATACCCCCTTGGATATCTATATTTATAATTATTCCCTTATAAATGAATTAATTTTAAAGCACTAGACACATCTGAACCAAAATCATATGAATTTTCATATAGTAATGTAGAAATGGGCTAAAGTCATACCTTATTTTTGAAGTACTGCCTAAGCATACAGTAGCTCTTCAGCTGTAGAACTGTCCTAGTGCCGATTAGTTTGGCAATCTTTGTCCACCTGCGGCCAAACTGCGCCTTAGAAAACATAAAAAACAAAATACAATTTAATTTATTTTATGAGTGAGAGAGAGAGCACTGTTTCCTTTGTATTCAGAAATCATACCAGTCCTTTCTCAAAGAGATCCTTCTCCTCTTCAACCCAATGAGTTTGTGCTCCAGAACTCTTCACCAATGTCCTACAAAGACACTCTGAATTAATTGCTGTAATAATACACAAACACACTACCATTCAAAAGTTTGGGGTCGGTAAGATTTTTTATGTTTTTTTCTCTCTCTTATTTTCACCAAGGCTACTTGATCAAAAATACAGCGAAACAGACATACTGTGAAATATTATTAGAATTTAAAATAACAGTTATATATATTAAAATTTAATTCATTCCTGTGATAGCAAAGCTGAATTTTCAGCATTTACTTCAAAAACAAAACACCTGTAACAATGTAAAAAAGTCTTTACAATCATTTTTGATACATTTTGTGTGTTCTTGCTGGATTATTAGTGTTAGAAAAATCTTACATACACCAAACTTTTGAACGGTTGTGTAGGTGTTTACATATTCACGAACATAAACGGATAAAAGAAGGGAGTTCACTTTTTGACTTTAGCCTTCTCATTGATCCATGCTTTTTTACTGGCAAAATAATACCTTTTCTTTTAAGAAAAACAACCACATGCTTTTGATGAATTATCACATCCATTTATCATTATGGGACGTGAAACCAAACATGAACAAAATGAGAATTAATCAGTGTGACGTGTAAAGAGTGAAGGATACTGTTCCTCCAGCAGCATGCTCTCAACGGCCTGTTCTCATCGCTGATGGAGCTGTCCAGTGTCCACAGCTGAACACACACAATAACAACATATAGTGTTATGTATATAAACAGTTATCATTTTAGGGTGAGCTAACCCTTAAAATCCATTATTACTTTACCGGTATACTGCTGTTTGTCTTCCAAGCAGACTGTAAGTATTGATCCTGGAGAATCTCAGCACTGCTCAGGTCCCTGTTAAGACACCAGACAAATAATAAAGACGTTAATTCTATAAGAATGTGTTTACAGAAATTAATTTACAAAAGACATCTATGGAGTACATAATTACAGAAGATTTAAAAGCGCATATTTTTGTTAAAACTATTTTATCGGTTTTTCTATACAAAAATGTGTTATTTAAGTTGTCCTTTATGTGAGGGACTGCTCTTCTAGGATGAACTTCTGATAATGTAACGTGTATCTATGATTGTAATTACTGTAGTGGATTTTTTGGTCACACTTTATTTTACAGTGTTCTTGTTACAAGTGTAACTGTACATTTAAGTACTGAGTAATATTAATTAACAACATGTACTTACTATAGGATTAGGGCTTTTTAGAGTTAGTTGCAAGCAGTTATGCATTATTTACTGGTATTATACTGTAGTAAGTGCACGTAACGTAAAAAGGATAGTCTTCTCTTTGTAAACAAACAGTTCATTTCTAGTATCCACACGTGTCATGCAATAATTACCAGATTTACATCATCATCACAGCAGTTAAAAATGAATATAACGTTGCTCATACACAGTTAGTAACCATTTTATCAAAAAGTTGTATGTTAACACATATAATGTATATGTTTTATGGTTATAATTTTGAAACGGTGTGAATTTTAACGTTTCTTACAACGCAACACAGGCTTCCATTGTAAATTAGACTGCCTACTAAGGATCCTTGACATTGACATCCTTTGATGGAGCTTGATGATGTGGCATCTTAGATATGCAGCCTTATAAGGAAGTGTCCTTCCATTTGAGAAGCAGCCATTGTCTGGTCACCCTTATGGACTCTCAGACCGCTCCGTGTCTGTAAAGGATCCTCAAGTGATTTTACCTTCATTGAAGTCTTACCTGTTCCATTGCAAGTCTCCAGTGATCTCCTATACTCACCTCTGTCTCCAGTGATTTCCTACACTCACTTTTAAATCTCCAGTGATCTCTAATACTATCTTTCAAATCTCCAGCGATCTCCTATACTCATCTCTGAGTCTCCAGCAATCTCCTATACTCTTCTTCAAGTCTCCAGCGATCTTCTATATTCACCGTCAAGTCTCTAGCAATCTCCTGTACTCACCTGTGAGTCTCCAGCAATCTCCTATACTCGCCTTCTAGTCTCCAGCGATCTCCAATACTCACCACAAGTCTCCAGCGATCTCCTATACTCACTGCTTAGTCTCCAGCGATCTCCTATACTCACCGCTTAGTCTCCAGCGGTCTCCAATACTCACCTCAAGTCTCCAGCGATCTCCTATACTCTCCTTCTAGTCTCCAGCGATCTCCAATACTCACCTCAAGTCTCCAGCGATCTCCTATACTCACCTTCAAGTCTCCAGTAATCTCCTATACTCACCGCTAAGTCTCCAGTGATCTCCTATTCTCTCCTCCAAGTCTCCAATGATCTCCAATACTCAGCTATGAGTCTCCAGCGATCTCCAATACTCACCTCAAGTCTCCAGCGATCTCCAATACTCACCTCAAGTCTCCAGCGATCTCCTATGCACTCACCTTTAAGTCTCCAGCGATCTCCTACACTCACCTGTGAGTCTCCAGAGATCTCCTATACTCACTGCTGAGTCTCCAGCGATCTCCTATACTCACCTTCAAGTCTCCAGTAATCTCCTATACTCACCAATAAGTCTCCAGTGATCTCCTACACTCACCTCAAGTCTCCAGCGATCTCCTATACTCACCTGTGAGTCTCCATTGATCTCCTATACTCACCGCTAAGTCTCCAGTGATCTCCTATTCTCTCCTCCAAGTCTCCAATGATCTCCAATACTCAGCTATGAGTCTCCAGCGATCTCCAATACTCACCTCAAGTCACTACACTCACATCTGAATCTCCAGTATTCTCTGTCTCTCCCCTGGTCACTACGGCACTGGACTGTTTATTGGAGCACTTCACACTCAATGCTTTTGGTTTACCTGCCTCAGTTTATCAGCTTAATTACTTCCCTGTTCATCCCACACTCTTAAAAATAAAGGTGCTTCAAAAGGTTCTTCAAGCGATGCCATAGAAGAACCATTTTTGGTTCCACAAAGAACCATTCAGTCAAAGGTTCTTTAAATACACATCTCTTTATTGCCTTTTTATAATCTGAAGAACCTACTTACACCACAAAGAACCTTTTGTGAAACAGAAAGGTTCTTCAGATGTTAAAGGTTCTTTATGGAACCATTTAGACAAAAAGGTTCTTCTATGGCATTGTGAAGCACCTTTATTTTTAAGAGTGCACCATCTTCCACACCTGCTGTATTGTGTTTTCTTATCTGATTTATTCACCTGCTGTGCCTTCCATTGTACCATTTCTGATATCTGCATATATCCAGCTGTCAATAAATATACTTTGGGTTCAACTAAACCTTCTTGTTGCAATGCTTTTAGCAAAAGAGGTTGTTATCGCTGGTGAACATTTAGTATATGAGATGCTAAACAGCCACACACTCAACATAAAAGTTTGAGCTTATTAATATTAATTATTTTTAATTATTAATCGGTTTTATATTTTGAAAAACTCAATTATTATTATTTTTATTTATTATACATAATAATTATACAACTTGTTATTTTATTATTATACAATTTATAATTATTTACATGTATTATTTAGTACTATTATTATTAAATTATTCATTATTATTTTATTTTTCTTCTGTTATTCTTTTTCTTCATTAGTTCTTATTATTTGTCTTCTTCCATATCCAGCTGTATTAGGTAGCGGACCACTTTCTTTTCTCCCATTGGTAGTCGCTGCATCACAGCTTATTTGCAGATTTAGCTAGAGCTGCACGATTCTGGATAATTTGGGAATCACGATTTTTTTTGTCTCAAATAGAGATCACGATTCTCCCACGATTCTGAACTAAACAAAATAATGTGTGGCAAAATATTATTGCTGCAGTCTATTTAAAAGTGTTCAATTAATTTGAATGAATTATTAAACATTTTAATATACACTACCAGTCAAAAGATTTTGAACAGTAATATTTTTAATGTTTTTTTTAAAGAATTCTCTTCTGCTCACCAAGCCTGCATTTATTTGATACAAAATACAGCAAAAGCAGTAATACTGTGAAATATTTTTACTATTTAAAAACACTGCTTTCTATTTGAATATATTTTAAAAATGTAATTTATTCCTGTGATCAAAGCTGAATTTTCAGCATCATTACTCCAGAGTCACATCATCCTTCAGAAATCATTCTAATATGCTGATTTGCTGCTCAAGAAACGTTTTATTATTATTATCAATATTTAAAACACTTTGAGTACATTTTTTTCAGGATTCTTTGATGAATAGAAAGATTAGCATTCATCTGAAATAAAAAGCTTTTGTAACATTATACACTCTACCATTCAAAAGCTTGGAATCAATATTTTTTGGGGGGGGGGGGGGCATTTTATAAATTAATACTTTTA